AAGGTCGGATTGACGTGGTTGTGAATGTGTTCCTTGCTTCCAAAACTTGGTTTACAGAAAAGAGCTTGACGAAGAAATGTTTAAAAAGGAAAAGTATGCGTCAGCATCAGCTGTTAATTATTTGATTAACCAATAAACAAATGGATTGAAGCCACATCCCCCCAAAATTCCAGCCTTAATGGGTGTTAATGACAGTGGGACTATGAATAAGAATTGAGAAACAACACTAGAGCCTATCCATTGGAACAGCAGGCTGACTCAGCTCCTGACCCCATCATCCAGATCAAATCTGGATAAGCATTTCCAGTTTACAATCCATCTATATAAACTGACTCATCCTCTTCTCTTTTTAGCCATCTCAAAATCTCTCTTAATCCCTCAAGAATATCTGTGTCTTCAGTTCGATCAACTGCTAATGGCTATGACTGCTTCTGCTTCTTCTTTGTATGAGGTTCTAGGGATCTCAATGAGCGCAAGTGGGCACGAAATCAAGGCTGCGTATAGGAGGCTGGCCAGAATGTGTCACCCCGACGTGGTAGCCATGAACCAGAAGGAAATGTCTGCAACCGAGTTTATGAAAATCCATGCGGCTTATTCTACTTTATCCGACCCTAATAAAAGAGCCAACTACGATAGAGACCTCTTCCGGCGGAGACAGCCCATTGGTTTTTCTTCTGCTCTTTCTTCAGCCGCAATGGCGTCCATGTCTAGATTTTCTGGTGGGTACAAATACAATTCCAAGGGAAATTGGGAGACTGATCAGTGCTGGTAGATTAATCATTAATAAATGTAATTCTTGTAAAATGTTAATTAGGCTAACTCAATGCCATATTTTTTGTGCGGGCTTGTGTTAAAGAGTTGCAGAGATCTCCATGGACAATGTATTTTCAATTTTCATGTCCTTTAATTGGAAATATAGCTAGATTTGTATCATCTTTTTCTCTTCTTTATGAATCGATAAGCCTATGTGGCCGTTTAATTTAAGCTATCATAGTACAAAATACAACTCATCAAAGCAGAGAAATGTCGTTTTATCCGGCCGTATAAGCTGTGTAAAGGGTTATAATAATTTTCCGAAATGCTGTGTAAATAAGCTTCCAACAATTCAAGCTATAAAGTTTACTTACTTCTTACTCATTCCCTGTTACGGTTAGTCATTAAGTTTGTATGAATTTAACATTATTTAACATCATCCCTACTGTTAAGGCCACACAAGACTTAAACAAAATCATTTAAAATCGAGATTACCCAAGAACGTGGTCGCCAAGAGATGGTCGACCCCAACATCTCGACTTATTTTAATTTTTACTCACATATATCTCATCTAAAAGAAAGAGTGAACACACAGTCGGATGAGCTAGATCGATATATATATTTTTTTAAATAGCTTTTGAATACAATTTTAAAATTAATATAATACACAAAACGAGTAGAAATCATTATAATAATTTTCTATAATTTTTAATCTGAAAACAGTTTTTTTTTTTTTTTTTTGAATATTTTTAGTTATATCTTAGCTTTAAAGGGAAAGGATTTTGCCCTGTTTGTACAAGTTGATTAAGGTAAGGCCCCTGCTGAACAAGTTGATTTCATGAGAGTTAATGCGGTGCACGTACGTTGAATATGGATACAGTACAATTACAAATAAACAAGTTTTGCAGAAGTCAGCAGCAACAACTGTCCTTTAAAAAATTCTAAACAAGGGGCAGAAACTAGAAATTTGTAACTACAATGGAAAAAATCCTGTGTGTTCTACTGATTTGAAAGGGCAAGTCAATTGAGGAACTCCACATTACTCAAGTTTCTTGTTTTCTTGCAGATCAACTGTATTGTTTGAGTTGTCAGATTCTTTAAGAAGAAGCAGCCACCGCCAGACTGAGAGTGGGGATTTTGTTGAATTAATTATATGGGTTAGTTGAATTCTTTAAGAACCGAAACATCATCAAGTCCATCGAAAGAAGAAAACAAAAACAAATCATTGATAGTTGATTGGACCTCAATGAATTTTGAATTTTCTATATATAAATTTGACGGTCCTTATGAAACTGGGTACCCAGATAATTACAGTGTATTATCAAATCAGTGTTGATACTTGAAACAGATTGATGCGCTGTCAGGTGACACTTGTCGAATCAAAATCCGAAGGGAGATATACGTGTTAGCAAGGTGTTTGAAGAAATGCCACTAAGAAGATGCCCGTTGATCGACATTATACCAGCCAGCAACACTTGGTATCATCAATGCAAATAAAAAAAAAAAAACAAAAACTTACTCTGAAATTCATTACTCTTTCTTGGGCTCTTTCATCGGACCGGTAGTTTGTTAGTTACAACAAGAGGCTTGAACATAAAAAGCAAAAAATTAAACTACCCTTGAGAGATTTATGGTGCATTTTTTTTTTTTTGTTATTTTGGATAGAATTTTAGGAATAATATTAGGTAGTTGAATAGGGTGAGTATTATAGGTAAAATTTAACAACTTAGGTTTGCTAATTTAACTAAACACCCTAATATATAAAAATTTTATAAAATGACAAAAACACCCCCCCCCCCACCCACAATGCCAGATTTCGGTCACCACTGTCAGAATCTGGCAAGAAAATGGTGTTACAATGCAAACAGGTCGGATTTGGCCGGTCGTGCGTCGATATGGCCTTTTCTGACCAGATTTACGACCAAATTTGGCCGTCGATGGTCGCGAAATGCTAGATTTGGCCATTAGCGACAACCAAAGATATGACCATTGTTAACCGTCAATGACGACCATTTCTTTGACTGTCAGCTCTGACCGAAAAAGGTCAAATCGACGAATTACCGGCCAATTCCAGTTGTTTCTACGCCGTTGTGAAAGATTCCAGCAATCACCAATGTTGGTTGCCGGAATCTGACAACTATGGGTGGGTGGGAGAGTTTTTGTTAATTGTTAAACTTTTTTTTTAGGGGTGTTTAATTAAATTAATAAACTTAAGGGGTCTAAAAATAATTAAAAAATAGAATAGTATTTCCCAAATAATTAAACAAACATGTATTTTGGGAATAAGATTAGGAATATGATAGGGAATAATAAAGCAAATGCACCCTATGAGTTCAGAGATTCTGAATTCGAGTTTTTCTAAACACTAATAAGGGTGATTATTAATTATTGAGGCTCTTACCCAATCAATAGTTTTAGAATCAAAAGAGATTAGTTGAGGTGCTCACAAACGAGTCTGAACACTTCGACGATGATTAAAAAAAAAATAAGCAAAAAATATGTGCCGTATAAATAGTCAAAATTGTTTCATGGGTTCTTTCTAGAATTAGAGGAATAGTTTTATGAATTTTCATAAAGGTCAACTGATTATATAATATGTAAGTTACAAATTAAAAATTAGGGTTCAACTCTATTATGATAATTTAGTAGTTCATGTTGCCAAAAAAAAAAAAAAAAAAAAAAAGAGTCTTGAAATTAGTGATGTCAAAGGTCTAACAAGTCCTGGTGATTAGTATACGTAATTTTTAGTTATTTTTCGTTGCTTCTTTTTAAAAATATCTTTGAATATTTTCCTCTAGAAGTTCTAAATAAAATAAACTAACAATTTTTCATATGAATTTAATTAAGTGGTATAGAGTATGACTTTTGTGAGATTAGATTAAAAATTTAATAATCAAATGGTAGAGTTGCATGGATTATCTTTTTTTTTTTTTATGCCTATGCTTATATTAAAACAGAATGGTTGTATTGCCCCCACAATCAACTGTAAAAGGGAACCCATTTTTTAAGAATTTTACAAGTGGACTTTATTTAAATATAAATATTTATTTTATAATCTTCATTGTTTTAAAACCCAGACCGGACCGCCCAGGAATCGGACCCTTATTCGGTCTGGGTACATTCTAAACTCGATTATAGTAGTTGGACCAGATTGACTCGAGGTTGAATCGATGGAACAATGTCAAATCGTCGATTCAATCGTTGGGTCAGAGAACTGGATTGGTGATGTTAGCATGACATAATAAAATTTTAAAATTTTAATGATTTTTCAAAATAACTCAATCCAAATCCAAAATTCAAATAACAATATAACATAAATAAAATAAATTGAAAATCCAAATCTAAAGATGTAACAATAAATAAAATAAATCCAAAATCTAAATCCAAATCCAAATAACAATATGTCATGCTGAAGTGGCCAGTTGGACTGACCGACCAAGGAACCAACTCTTTGACTGGGTCAAAGCTCAGTCCGAGTCTTACAACATTGATTTGCTCTCCACTATAATTTTTCTTCTTCTAGTTGTACAATTTTCGGAAAGAAATTAGAAGAACAACAATAAAACAATCTTTTAAAATTGACTCTAATTTAGAAATCAAGTTCTCCTATTTGATCCGGATGCCAAATTGTCTCTCTATAAAAACGTTTATAGATAATATAAATTAAATTAAAAGAAAAAAAAACTGAGAAGCTATTACAAACTTACAATTTCATATTATTGGTAGCATAATATATCTCTTTGTAAAATTCTTTTTAGTCTCAAAATATATCAACTTTATCGAAATAGGGTTTCATGAAAAATATAAAAAAAAATAGAATCTATGTACATTATTAGGGGTGTGTTCAAACTTCAAAGCATACCTGCTTTGATGGGGCCTGGCTAGACTTGGGACTGAAGTTGTGGATTGGCAGCCCAATAGTCCAGAAACTTTAAATTCAGACTGACTGGGCCTTAGTCCCAGTCCAGTTTTTCTAGTATGGTCTAAGTATCAAATATAAACTTAAATGTGAAAGAATAAATGAGAAAAACCACAAGAAAAACAAAAAAAAATCTAAAAATCATGTTGTGTAACATACCTACACAGCATGTAGGGTTAGGGTTTAAGGTTTGTCTTGACGGTCAATAAGCTTTGCTCCCTTCGCTGACTTACTGAGTTTAAATTACTTTGGAGTCATCTACCTCATTTATGACTTATTTTAGAACATTAGGTTTATAGGGCGTTCAATGGACTTCGAGAATTAATCGAGATGCACGTAAGCTGGCCTAGACACCTTGATCGTAAAAAAAAAAAAAAAAAAGACACTACCATTCATAAATGTATAGATAAAAACTTTCAAGTGCTCAGATAACAACAATAAACACATCATACATTCACAAGAGAGACAGAACTAAATTTAATGTATACATGTAACATGTTTAAGCTTCCTTTAGGTGGCTACAGAATTTTACCCAAAAAAAATTCTATGCAAAACTCATTTATAGCATGTGTTTTTTTCTGCAGAATAGGCCTTTTGTTGGCATTGTAAAAGTCCAAACTTCTGAAGATTAGTTAAATTTTACAGCGTCGGTAGATTGAGACTTGCAGTAGATTAAATGAATGTATTTTGTTAATTTCCTCCAAGCAATGATAACTTAGCTAGCCATATTAGTAGCTTTAAGAAATGTGTTTTCTTATCAATAAATGATCAATCAATTCTTCTCAAAGTTGTGACTTTAATTAATCCACGTTTTGAACGAGCCAACACATGAAAACGAAGAGGAAATTTCCAGGACAGAGAGTAAAATAGCAGCAGCACCAATTTTGTCACTTCTGAAAGCCACTGTAGCAGAACATGTAGTTCTTGTACCTAAAATCTCAGTAAGCATTGCGTGATACTGATCATTCAAAAAAATAAAAAAACTGAAAGAACCCCGTTTTCCAGTGGGTACCACCGTTCAAAAATATGATCTCTGGTGTTATTGAAAGGTTAAGGGGAAGCATAAGTCATGTCATTAGTACAATTTCAAAGGTACAGTACTTGGTTGGACTCTTGTGATATGTAGAGTACATGAGGTGTATTCATCTTCACTCAATAATGGATTTATCTTTGAGTTGGCTTC